CAATGATTACTTTGGCTCAGTGTTGTTTCCAGCTGCCCACACAGCAACAAAGTTACACCACTTCTTCCACTCCTTTGTTATGAAATCTGTGGATCTACGAACTCTCTCCTTCTTTAGATTCCCATAAAACTCCTCTCTCTTCTTCCTGTACTCTTAGCCTAAGCCTAGATTCTCCCCACAGATGCTTAAAGTGTCCTCTTTCTTTAAGTTAAATATGTGTCAAGCACTTTACTAAACAGTTTATGTATCTCAACTTCTTTGATCCTCACAAAAACCTAGGATGTAGCTATTATCATGTTCCAAATGTAAAAAAAGCTTCAAGAGGTTAATATGGCCCAGTTCATATGGTTAATCAGAGGCTGAGTTGGAAATGGAACCCAAGCCATCTCATATTTATGTCCAGCAGATTCCTTGTCAGTTGAAGAAGGACCCTGCCAAGCCTATGGATGAACATGTTCAACATAGTCAATTTCAGGGAAAATCAATTTTCCTAAAATCATTCCCAACCCTAGCCTTCCAAAATTTCTAGGGTATTCACGTTCATTCATTCGTTCTACATTTGTTCATCACCAATTATGTGCAAGGACTGTGCTATTGTGGGGGTAGAGCAAACTACTAAGAAAGGCCTCTGTCCTAGTGAGTCAAAGGCATATCAAAACCCTGAAAATGAAATTTATTTGTTCTACTTTAAAAGCACACGATGTCATTCAAATAGAATCACAAAATAACTATAAACAAACCATTATTACCAGATTGCAAAGACAGGTTGAAAATCACCTCTCCAAAAAAGAGGCAGAGTCTAACATCATGGTCCATCTCTGTCTTAATCAGGTCCTAATTACTATCGCCAAGAGAGTTTGCTTTACAACAGATTTTTGACTATCCTATCATAAGAATTAAAAGGCATTAGGTTCAAACATGTTCTTTATTGTTTGAGGGTTTCCTTGTATGTGCATTTTTACTACTTGGGGTTTGAGAGGCTACAAACTAAATTTCAAAAGCCATTAAANTCCTTTGGGTAAATTCCTAGGAGTGGAATTCCTGGGTCAAATGGTATTTCTATTTTTAGTTTTTTGAGGAACCTCTGTATTGCTTTCCACAATGGTTGAACTAATTTACCTTCCAACAGTGTAGGAGGGCTCCCCTTTCTCTGCATCCATTTTGTTAAATGTTTTGTGATTTTTGTTCATGTCTGATCCTTCTTCTCTTGCTAACTGCCCTTGTATGTGATGCCTTTCTTTAGTATTTTGGTTGGATCATTTCTCTTTATTTTTTGTATATCTATTTTTTGTTTTTTGTTTTTGGTTGCCATGGGGTTCATATATGACATCCTAAATATATAGCAGTCTGTTGTGTTGGTAGTCACCTGTGTTTGAATGCATTCTAACAGTGCCACTACACTTTCTGAAGTTTTTACTTGTTCTTTTGTTTTGAGCATATTCTTCTGTCTCCTCACTTTGCTTGATTTTCTGTTTATTTCTATGGTTAGATGATAGGACTACCTCTCCTAATCTTGAAGTCAGGGCTTTGCATAGGAATGTCCCCTAGATGGAGTGTGTGTTCTTGCTTGTTTTGGCTGGCTAGCTGCAGGCTGGGTGGGCATGGCCCAGGGTGTCTTGGTGCTGTGGCTCCCAGGACATGATCTAGAGAGCCTTTGTGTGGGCACTGGTCCAGCGCTGCACTGGCAGAGTGACTGTGGATGGAGGGGCATGGTCTTTGGTCTCTTGTGTTGGTGCCAGCTGGGCCCACACTGGTTAGGGCAGCTGGGAGCATGTTCTGCTAGTCTCCTGTGTGTGTGTTGGCTGGATCTGGACTGGTGACACAGCCAGGGGCAAATGGGCACTGTTCAGGGGTCTCCCAGATCATCACTGTAGAGGGGTATGGTCAGGGGGCTCCCGGATGGGTGGCAGTTGTGGCTGTAGCAGAGGGGTGCTGTTTTGGGGTCTCCCAGGTGGACAAGAGAAAATCCATGTGAGCGCCACTCTAGTGCTGTCTTGGTGGGACTGCCAGATCACCAGTGAGGGTGTCTTGGTGCAGGTGCGGGCCAACTTCAGTTGAGTTTGGAGCTCATATGTGTCTGCACTATTAATGTGCAGGGGGACCATAAATAATGGTGCTCATTAGCACATCCTATCCCAGAGAGTTCTGACAGTCCCTCTGCCATCTGTGGATGCTTTAGTTCTCAAAATCAGCTTCCTTCACTTGTAGTCTAGATGCCCCTGAAATCACAGGTTTTTTCCCATGTCCTCAGGCAGGCAAATCCTTGTTCCAGTCCCTCAGTGACGTCCCTCCTTATAGCAGTTCACAGCATTTGTGGCTAAGGTTCCCCACCATCACTGTATCTGTTTCTTCTGCTGTTTTCTCAGTCTGGTCTTTGTAGCCCTCATTGCAGGAGGTGTTCACTCAGGCCTTGGTACTTCCTCGGGAGGAACTGCTCTGTGTGTAGGTACAGTAGATTCAGTGTGTAGGTGGAAGTGGGTCCAGACTCATTCTGTGCAGCCAGCTCGGACCTCTCTCCCTGATTGTTTTAAATCAAGTGATGTACATAGATATTACCAGCCTCTCTTAGAGGAGATTTGGAAAAATGAGGAACCAAGATTCACCTTGATATGAAGTTATTGAATATAAGTCTTAGAGAATCAAGCTGATCTTAAAGGCAGTAAAAGTATTCTGAATCCAGCATTAACTGGAAGAAGGCAGGTATTTCCTATTTTCTCTTTTAGTTTCCTAGATCTTTTAGCATTTTGGGGGGTAAATGACCATATCAGTCGGGATCAGTGCATAAAATAGAAGCCACTTGAGATATTGGCATGAAGGGATTTAATTCAGGAGACTAAAAAAAGAATAAATGGGGCCTAGGCTGGGGCTCTGAAGATAATCTCTAGAGTAATGACCCACCTGGAGATCTCTGGGGTAGTCACTGGAAATTGAGTTAAAGGCAACTACTTGTAGCTTCATTCCAGTCAGGAAAAGGGATTAGGAGGACACCACCAGTTAATCATTCTCTGATACTCAGAAAGCTAGAAAACACAATACTGAACCTTAAGTGTCCATAACCATGCTTGCTGGTAGAAATACCCACCATGAGTCCACCTTTCAGATCTCAAATGAAGGCATGCAATTCACAAAATCGAATTCATATGAAAAACCTTGGTGCAAGGGCATCTGGAAAAAGTTCTTTTAGCTTTTCAGGTCTTCCTACTAGAATAGAGGTTGAGCAAGCCAATCCACAGGGATCTGCCCCCACAGCTTTGGTGTTTTTTCCATTTACTTTTGTTTGTTTTCTGGCAGGTGTAGTTGGGTTGTTTGTGCTGTGAATGTACAAAGGAAAATTGAAGGATAGTTGCTGCTTGAGAAAGGAAATGGCAAATGGCAAAAGCTTAACCCTTAGAATCAGCCTGAACTGTATATTTCAATCTTTTTGTTTTGTTACTAACTTAAAGAAGTCACTGTAACCAAACCAACATAAGCTTCTGTGGGTCAGCTGCTGTTAACAGGCATTTTGGTTCCCTTTCAGGTGTAATGCTATTCACTGTAATGGATTTTGCTTCTAGCAGGGGAGGCATGGCCCACAAGAGTAGTCTAAGACTACTGTCATCTATCCTGTCAGAACTAAAAGCTATATATTCAGATGTAACAAAGTCTAAAATGTGCCATGATGGCTCTTTATCCACTGGTTGAGGATATTAGGAGGTTGGAAGTTGTGTAGATGTGAGTTGGATGGTGCCTATTTCCTAGAAGCCGAGGCTATAATTCTGATTATTCCATATTCCGTTTTACAGAAAATCAAACCATTAAGGGCTACTAAGCTTGCCCGAAGTCACACAAGTAGTAAGTGGCAGAGAAGTAACTTAAATGAAGAGACTCCAGTGACCCTTACTACCCAAAATGTAACCCATGGACCAGCTGCACTGCAGCACCGGCAGCTTGTTAAAAATGACTCAGTGCCCTAGACTGCCTGAATCAGAACTGCATCCAAACAAGCCCTCGGTGGTTCTTGGGTATGCTAAAGGACAAAGAGGGCTGCTCATAAGCACTCTGTTAAGACTTTCTAACCACATGGGGTTTCCTCAGATAGGGAAGAGCCCTAGGACTTCAGTTCTGTCAACAATTTGGTGACACTTTGGAATCAACAGGCCCCAATGTTCCTAGGGAAAAGCGTAATTTTTTTTTTTGCCTTTAACAGGTCTTTTAGTCAATGCATTGTGACATGTTGGAGGGAGAAGTGGGGAGTTTTCACACTTCTTCCGATGATAAACTCTAGCTTAATATACATGATTTAACTCAAGCACAGGGTGGACTCTCTGAGTATTGCTTCTTCTACCTAGCAGTAGAAAACTGCAGTGCACCTTCCACTTAAGGGAACCAGAGAATTGACAGTGTGTGTGTGTAGAACTTAGAAACGGTTCAAAAAAGAGTCTGCTCTTTTTACATACTCTTCCATTAAAGACAAAAAAAAAATGAAGAGTCAGGACAAGATGCCTACACACTGACTTTCTGTGTCTGCCCCAACCCAAACCTGCATTATGGCCATTGTAATAAAGGCTGAGACAATTTAAAATAGAAATAAGGTCAATCTTGTTGTACAAAATTACCTATGTTGCTAAGCTACTTACATTTATAGGTGAGATTCACAGTGTTTTCTAGTTAGTTAATAAGGGCACTAGCTTGCACATAGTAGCTCTAACACCCACTCGTAAGTCATGGGGTATGAGAGACACTGAAGAGTGAAGAGACAAACATCAATGGCAATAAAAATAAACTGTTTCCCCACCTGTGAAATGAGGAAATAGAACTAGATTTCCATGCTTCCTTCCTATTGTAACATTTTATGCTTCTACATAACAATTATAAAAATAGCTCACATTTAATGAGCACTTACAGATTATCTCATTTGCTCCTTACAAAAACCTATGAGATGGGTACTATTATTAATCCTTTATTGCAAATACGCCTCTAGCTTCTCAGCTTTTGTTACTGGTGCAGTGGAAGAACCACAAGCAGAAATGAAGAATTTCCAAGTGCCGATACCTGACCATAAATGTTCAGGCCATCCAACGACCTCTAAAGCAGTCTCAACCTCAGTGCATTTTACTTGTAAGTGAATTCACCTGTATTTATCAGTACCATCTGTTTTATTTTTTTATTGAAGTATAGTTGATAGACAGTATTATATTAGTTTCAGGTGTACAACAGTGATTCAACAATTATATACATTATGAAATGCTTGTTACTGTGTGGGTGTTAGCTGTCACCATACAAAATTATTGACTATATTCCCTGTGTTTTCCTTTTCATCCCATGACTTTATTTTATAATTGGAAGTTTGTTTTTCTTTATCCCTGTGAATAAAGACAAGTTTCCTATGGCTAGGATTCTCACCTGGCCCTGGTTGGCTAGCTCACTACACACATGGACAATACATTGTTATTAACTCTATATAAAGAGCTCCACCCAGTGCTCTGCATGACACGGTGGCAAGGCTGCAAGGCTGCAGGAGAGCAGAGGCTGGAGTAGTGGTAGTACCAAGGACAGAGACTGAGACGGCTGCAGGGGTGGAGAGGTCCAGAGGCAGAGACCGGCTTGGTATATGGAGACTGGCTCTGAGTGGGTGGGATTCTAGTGATTCACCTGTCACCATGGGAATAAAGTTGGGTACAGACCCTTCCACCCCAAGAACATTCCACTGTTATTTCTCTGGTCTCACTGAATCCATAGTTAACTTGTCCGGGTCTGAAACCCATTGGCAAGACAGTCCCCTTCACCTATTTTGCCCATCCCCCATGGCAATCACCAGTTTGTTCTCTGTGTTTAGGAGTCTCTATTTTATCTGTTTCTTAGATTCAAATATAGGTGAAACCATATGGTATTCGTCTTTCTCTGCACCCTTTTAAGTCAATCCATGTTTTCACAAATGGCAACATTCTTTTTATGGATGAGTAATATTGTTGTGTACATGCGTAACTTCTTCATCCATTCATATATCGATAGACACTTAAGTTGCTTCCGTGTCTTGGCTATTGTAAACAATGTTGCAGTGAACATAGGTGCGCATGTGTCTTTCTGTTTTTTGTTTTCTCTGGTTAAATTCCCATTAAGTGGAATCACTGGGTCATATGGTATTTATCTCTCATTTTTTGAGTGAACCTCCATAGAGCTTTCCATTCCCGCCATCAGTGTATAAGCGTTCCTTTTCTCCACATCCTTATCAACACATATTTACTATCTTGTTATTTAGCCATTCTGACTAGTTTGAGGTGGTACCTCAATTGTGGTTCTGATTTGCATTTCCCTGATAAGTGATGTTGAGCACTTTCCATGTGTCTATTTGCCATCTAGATGTCATCTTTGGAAAAATGTCAATTCAGATCCTCTGTCCATTTTTTGATCAGAGTATTTGTGGGGTTTTGGTGTTAGTTTATCTATTTTGAATATTAACTCTTTATCAGATATATCATTTGCAAATATATCCCCCAGTTAGTAGGTTGCCTTTTTGTTGATGGCTTCTTTTGCAGAAACTTTTTAGTTTGACATAATTCCACTTATTTTCATTTTTGCTTCCTTTGCCTGGGGAGACAGATCCAGAAAGAAATTAATGCCAATGTTCAAGAATTTATTGCCGGTTTTCTTTTAGTTTAATGGTTTCATATCTTACCTTTAGGGCCTTTAATCCATTTTGAGCTTTATTTTTGTGCAAAGCATAAGACAGTGATCCAGTTTCATTCTTTTTCATGTAGCTGTCTGGTTTCCCCAGCACCATTTACTAAAGAGACTCTTCCCCATTGTATAGACTTACCTCCTTTGTCCTGTATTGACCATATAAGTGTTGGTTTATTTCTGGGTCCTCTATTCTGTTCCATTGATCCTGTCTATTGTGCCAGTGCCACATTGTTTTGATTACTGTAGCTTTGTAGTATAGTTTGAAAATAGGGAGCATGATACCTCCAGCTTTGTTCTTCTTTCTCAAGATTGCTTTGGCTATATGGGTCCTTTTGTGGTTCCATACAAATTTTGGGATTATTTTATCCAGTTCTATGAAAAATGCCATTAGTGTTTTGATAGGGATTGCACTGAATCAGTAGATTGCTTTGGGTAGTATAGCCATTTTAACATTTAATTCTTCCTTTCCATGAGCATAAAATATCTTCCCATTTATTTGTATCATCTTCAGCTTCTTTCATAAATGTTCTTATAGTTTTCAGTATGCAAGTGTTTCACCTCTGTTCCTTTTGGTGCAATTATAAATGGAACTGATTTCTTATTTTCTCTGCTAGTTTGTTGTTTGTATATAGAAACACAACAAACTTCTGTATATTGATTTTGTATCCTGCAACTTTACTGATTCAGTCTTTTGGTGAAGTCTTTAGGACTTTCTATATATAATGTCATGTCATCTGCAAATAGTGACAATTTTACTTCTTCCTACTGATTTGGTGTGGGTGGGTGGAGACTGTGTGCCATACTGATGCCACCTTGGTGGGACTGCTGGCTCATGGGCAGGCACTTTTGAGTTTTGGGGTGTGTGTGGTGGGGCTGTCTCAAGGTACATTTGGAGGTAGTGTGGGCCTCCAGACCCTGCTTTTGTCACTGCTGTCACTGTTTGGGGTGGGGTGGAGGGAAACATAAATGTTTCCCAGTTAGAGTTCTAGCAGTTTTCCTGCTATTTGGCAGGTGCTCTAGTTCTGAAAACCAGCTTCTTCCACATAGTCTAGTTGCCTGTTAAACTGTAGGGTCTTTTCTATACCCAAGGGTAGGTGAGTCCACTCGCAGCTCCATCACTGTTGTCCCTCTGTGCTGCAGGTCACAGCACTGGGGATGGGGCTCCCACCATTATTTTGTCTCCATCTCTCCTGCTATTTTCTTAATGTGGTCTATCCCTGTGTGCAGCAGCTCTTCATTCTACCCTCAGTTCTCAGAAGGAACTGCTGTTTGTAGGTATAGATTCTGTGCATACCTGGGAGGAAATGGATTCAGGCTCCTTCGTGTTGCTTCCTATAAAAGGTCAAAGCCAGATCTTATTTGTATGTATATCCCCAGAGACTAGTAACCATCCCTAGAAATTTTATTTCTGATTGGAAACAATCTCCATTTCACAATGACAGGATCTTAAACACTCAGGTCTGTCTAGCTTGGTTTGGTGAATTGAATACTTGTCTGCTAGGCTCCTGGATAACCAGAGCAAGCACAATCTATCCCCATAGTTTCTTGGGATTTGTAGTGGATATTTTAGAAGAATAGCATGTGAGAAATTTTATCTAATCTCTGATAATAAGTGTCTGTCTCCGCCCAATTCCATGCCCCCAGCACAGGCTGAGATGGCCAGGGTAGGGGTGAAGGGCAGACCGAGGCACTTGAGCTGTGCTGCCACAGAAATTCTTTCCAGGGTAATCATCAGCTCTTACCTGGTTAGTGTTGTCCTTGGCGGTACCTGGTCCATGCTTGCACTGAACTAGGGCACTTTTCTCACTCTGATTTGCTTTATACATTCACTTAGAGGACTTAACTGTGAATTACTTTGTAAATTCCCTTCTAGATAGGTCTGTTGTTAACACCTCTGCAGGCCTGGCCTCAGACACTGGTATATGGGATTCCCACATTCTAATGGCTGGATCCAGTGTCTTCTCAGTCAGCAAACATGCTTTGTAAGGTACTAGAGGGAAAGAAAACACTTGCCCTTTGGCTATAGTCAGGAACTACTGGAATAGCAGATGTCCACATGTTTCTTTGCAGTAGCCATTCTTCGGACATCACTCTGTTCATTCTCTTCTGTAAACCTGCCTGCTTAATGCAAGCAGTGGGACCCTGTCCTTCGGTGTGAAGGAGCTGCCTTTCATCAGCTTAGATAGCATACAAACTACTTTTCCACATTCCCATTCTCTCAGGCCTGAGGACGGATTTATGTGGAACCCAACCACATACAGCATTTTAACTCTTTTCCTCCTTTGAAACCAGTCAATTCCAATGTCTTTTTCCACACTGTCCATTGTCCTATCACAGGTTAGCATCCTAGAAATCAGTTTTTCATTAAGATGTTTTTATTTACGGTAGTAATCTCAGTCTTTTCCTTACTTCTCTGGTTTGGAAAATTGAAAGCATTTCCCATCTACATCTGCCTCACATTCTAAAATATTCTCAACCAGAAGGACATGACTATAAGCCATGATTGCATGACCCACTGTGAGGGTGTGGCAAGTAATAGACAACTGGTACTGAAGTGTCAGCCATACCACTATCACTCCAAGGCTTTCCTGTGTGATTTTTTGAGAGAGAGAGACGGGAAGAACCATGGGAGTCACATAAAGCACGGCCCTGCACCCCAGCCCAGGTCACTTATGCCATAGCCGTGGCCAGGCCACAGCTAGTGACACTCTCAGGGGTTATAGTGATTACACATTGCTGTAGTGACTTAACCTGGATATACCCCCGAGGTGAGACTGTGGCTAAAAAAAAGTCACAGTCACGTCATTAAAAAGTACCAGTCATACATGTTTTTGGATGGTAACAATACACTTTACATGGGAAACTTATTCGGTCCAGGGGACACTACATACATGCCTTATCTTCATTTATTGTAATAATTCAGCTAGAGAAGTTCCATAAAAATTTAAAATTCCTGAGGTAAAGCAAGTATTTTCTGATCAGTCAATTCTACGAAATCAGTCTTGGAGACCAATATAATGACACGTCACTGCTGGGCTGCTCTCACATCCAAAATGTGTTCTAAGGAGAAAGCAACTTAACCATAAGAACTTTTATGCTTCATGCCCTGGCACCATTACTAAGTATAATACCCTGTCCTTCCCAGGCATAGCCTTTGAAGCAGATGAATCATCATGAACAGATCTCTCTCAATTTGTAAGTATCTTGAGTAAACCATCTTTAAGATTTGAGTGTCAACTAAATGGTAGAGCCAAAAAGAAAACAAACCTGATCACATTTACATTTCAGTTGGGCACTAACGCCTTTGGCTGATCTGAGATCATATGGGACACTAAGAATAACAACATCAAAAACTTGTTTGGTTTGATGAAATAAAGACAGCTCAGGTTATTCATAATTTTAGAGTTCGTTTCACATATGTAATGCTGTTACTAAGCAATGAACACTTTCATAAAAAAATTTATTTCACACTTCCATACAAATATCCACAGGTATTTTCTAACCATGAAATAATTTTACAATGCTAGTTAGTATAAAAATGTATCAAAGGCAAACAGACCAGTGATTTGACTTGAGATGACATGTTTAAATTTAAACATCACTACATTCTTATTTCTGTTGTTGAACCATCCACTCCCCACTTTTCAGGACATTTGTTTTTATAACAGAGGTCTATAAGCACTTTCACAATACCAGCTTCTTAGCAACCTGTAGAGCCAGTGCAGTAGGCTCCAAGTTACTTATAGAACTGAGATTTTAAACACTGTTATGACCTATCTTGGAGAAATTTTTGTGCATGAACATACCAAATTACAACTAAATGTCCTAAGTATCTTAAGGGCAGTAAGATTTCTGGAAAAAAAAAGAAAAATCCTCCAAAGCAAAACGGCACATGCAGCTGTGGCTGAGACGCTGCTTATACTATATCCAAATTAGCCCGTTTGCTGTTGCTCCTAATATAGCTTAATATTTGGAAATGCAATAATTAAAATTCAGCCCTCATATCTATTCAATGTCTATTTAATGTATAGAATGTCTGCCTCCCCACCACCTTCATTTTTACAATTAAACAATTAAAAGTTCTTGTTGGAGCAGTCCCAAAGTGGTTTCGGGGGCCCAGATGGGGGAGAAACAGAACAAAAAACAGCACATCAACTCACTGATTAAATGATTCCAGGAACATTTAAAAACTTAAAAGCCATGATGTTCTATGTGACTCAGTAGTCTTATACCGGATCGGTTCAGGTCCACCATGGGCACTCACCATTTCCTTCAAGTCCTAAAGATATAGTATTTGCAGCAGCAACTAAACAGCACTGAAGTTCAACAAACACACCATTATTTCTAAGAGCTCCTGATTGTTACAGCATGAAATTCAGAAATCACACAGGGCTCTAACCTAAAAAATACCCGATGTCTGGTAAGAATTAAACATCTTATGGATAAATCCTATTTTTTAAACCTTTTGGGTTGGAGGGAGGAGGTGAGGACTGTCGTGAAGGGTGATGTCTTAATAACTTATGTGTATATTTATAAAGAATATTCTTTTTTGCAGTAAATAGGTTAGGTCAAACCAGTGACTTCCATATTCTAATTCGACTGTTTAATCCAACCTAAAGTGTAAACTGGAGAATCTTTGGCCTGTTAGTCAATAACAAAATGATTTATAAAAAATAAATACCATATACAAATAAGTTTAACTAGCATTCAAGTCTCTTGCACCTGTGTGTTTTGGTGAGAAGGGGGAATGAAACCTGTACGTATCTGGTGTGAACAAGTATTCACACATCTAGGAAATGGAGGAAGATCGCGGGATGGCAATGTTACCTTCTATTGCACATTTAAGAAAGCACTTTACATTGAGACACAGTTACCCTGACGGCAGAGTCTTGAGACGCAGGACAGTTAATGGGTAGGTCTTCAGTCCTCTGGGAAGAAAGAGTGTTCACAAGGGCAGTGCTGAGGGTGGGGACGGCCATTCTGGGAGCGCAGTGACTGGGTGCAGGCGGCAAGCCCTTCCCCAGCACAGGGGAGTTAGCCACGACAAAGACAAAGGCAAACTGGGAAGTTAAATTAAGGCAGTTAAAGAAAAAATCCATTCCAACAGTCTGAAATTTGGCTGTGCAAAACAGAACCTCGGGCCACATAACGATATCCATAGTTAAAACTGTAGGTTCATACTGTATGTAGTCTGGCTGAACTCAATATTCAGGTACTGAACAGGCTTTTAAATCCATTTGAATTTGAGTTGGGGGAAAAAAAAACAGCATAGGTACTGCGAAGCTTTTCTGCCCCTCCACCCGCCTAGGAGTAGCTTTCATTTTCATTCCACCTTGTGATCCACTGTTTTTTTTCAAGGTTATCATATTTTTCATCATTGATCTTGCGCTCTTCCTTCCGGATCCTTACCGCATGGTATCGGGGAACACTGTCATCGTACCTGGAGCGTTTAAAGAATCCACACTGAAGAAGGGGGAAAGAGAAACAAATTAATCTCAAGAAAAGTGAGTGCACCCCTGGAGAATGTCTAAGCTTTCTGTTCAGCTGTGCCTACCTTTGGACAAAGGAAAATGGTAGTGCTTTTAAGAAGGAACTAATAGGTCAAAAAGAAATAACAGCCAGTGGGGATGTATAGAAACGCCGTGAAACTGAAAGAAAAGTCTTTTTTCTTGTTTTCACATTTGATAACAGTGTAGATAGGCTACCTCTTTACTAACAATTTGAATTAATGAAACAGTGCTTCCATTTTGATTTATAATCATTACTTATATGTGAAGTCTAATTTTCAGATTATTAGCATGTCATTTTAAAGAAATTTTTTAAAGGCCATAAACCAAAGATACTGCATACCCTTTTCCCACTAACAAAATGGAAATACGGTCATAAATATTTTACAAATTACTATTTGAATATGCCATGCTCAAATGGGTCAGTTTAAGAATATTCTCTCCTCCAAGGCTACAGTACCTATCCCTCATTAGCTAGAAGGTAATTTAAACTACCTGGATTTGCTCTTGTGCTTCCAAATTAATAAATCATATAATTGTGTCCTGCAATAAAATCAACCATGTACTGCAGAGAACTTAGGAAAGGATCACTATACTGAATTTCAGAGCATCCCCTAATTTCTTGTTTTGCAAAAGGAAAGACATTTACTATATTAATGAATGTGTATTTCATTTTTATTCAATCTGATCCAAAGTAGGTTTTTACTGAGAACATAATCTGGAAATTTCTTAATCAGATTGATTTTTTTAATGATAAAATGTACATATTTTTAAAAAAATGATGAAGAGGGTATATGAAATGGATGATTAATATGTGTATTATATAACAGTAGGAACAGGACATTTATGTTGAATGATATTATGGTATAAAAATGTCATGGGGCAAAATAAAATATGCATAGTTATCACTAAATTAATAGGAAAATGGACCAAGAAATTTGTTCTACGGCCATTTTTACTTGCTAGACTCCTTTATCTGTTAAAAAAATATGGCTTTTCCCCCATTTAATCAAAGGAGTAAATCAAAGGTAAAATATAAAACTGGAAAGGAAATGGGATTCATCATAGCAGTACCACAGTGAGGGATTATAGGAGTAATTCTATCTTCTTATGCCCACAGAAATGGAAAATGGACTCATTGCCAATTCCTGTTTCCATGGATTTACACATAAGAGAAGCAAAACATGAACTTAAAATCAACTGAGACCCAAGGTTGAATAAAATCTGGGAACATGAAACAAGGTCAAGCTCCATTACAACATACCGAAATAAAAACTGACCAGAGCATTTTTATCTTAGTTTTGTATACTGAAAGTCACTTTGGTAAAGAACCTTCTGAAATTGACCATAATGTCCACCTGCCAATAGTCAGTTTGTTGCAATGGTCTTTGACCTATAATAGATATGCAGGAAAAGGAAGTTGCATGCTTAGGTAGCATAAGACAATTTCTGAGCAACAAAAGCATTCCAAGCCTTCCACCATCACTTTATAGCAAGGAGATCAAAAAGATGACAGTGAGGAAGCCTTCTCATCAAAAGAAACAGTGTTTCCAACATGCAATAGGTTAATTAGACAGTCAACACAAGCTTCTAGCTGTGGGAAATTCCAAAATGGAAAAGAAATCTGGAATGACTTCTCAAGGCATCTTTGAAATTCCAACTGGGATGCTACATAATAGATTCACAATATGTGGCAAACAGGTACACTATGGAGGTCTGAAGCCTCCTTTGGTGTGGAAATATATGGCAGTTTTCTTCATCGCTGTGGGTGATGTTTAACAACTAACAAAATAACTCACCTGCAATGAAAGATTCTTTGTGCATTTTTCAAAAAACTGAGCCTTGAAATGAAATAAAATAAATCCAAGCAAGGCAAGCCAGTGTGGACATTTGGAAACATCTGTTAATGGGACACACACATAGCAAGCTGTTGCTCTTAAAGTTAGCCACCACAACCACAGCAGGTCCCACAGCTAGCAATTAAAAACATTGATCAATTACCAATTAAAGAAGTAGCTCAATACTATGCATCAGAAGTAAGCCTCTCTTTATCAGATGGCTGAGCATGGATCTCAGCCTTGTGGTATGTGGCATCATAATGATCTTTCTTATTTCTCTTGAAGAAACCACACTACAAGGAAGCAAGGTATTTAGTCAGTTTCACAGTTTTGTGCATAAGAGCGAACAAATTAAAATCTCAGATTTGAACCTATTTTCTATTTTATAGCTTGTTTACAAAGAGGTTACTATGGATCAACTAAAAGTGAGCAGCCACTGCAGTATGTTATTTTGTGACAATCACCCCACCCAGCTCTAGCACCGTGTGTCTCTGGTCAGATATTTATATGGATGACATTAATCAGCTAATTGATTTTTCTATTTGTAACAGAAATCCTGAAGCCAAAAATCATCCTAAAAGGGAGAATATATACACATCTGATTATAGCTCTTTGGGTAGTTTCTTCTTGTAGGAGAATATGGACTTCAGGCAAAAGGTTGACTTTTGCAGCTTACTGAGACAAAGGTTAAAGTGTACTTTAAGTTTAGCACAGATCCAAATAAAATACTGTATTTTTCTGCCTTTCATGGTAGATTTTATGAAACAAATGCCATACTTTGGATTTGTGGGGTAAATCACAGTATAAATTCAAATATACCATCATGAAAGAATCATTTCACCTTCCTGGGGCACTGGTTTGTCTTAAGCTGTCACTTCCCCAAATTCTGAACCACCAAATTCTGTAACCCTTAAGTGGTAGGAACCTATGCTCCTCAGGTTAGGTCACTCTAAAGGAGTGTAAAAGTATGATTCTGCTTTCTACTGTAATTTCCTTCATTCAACAATGGAGAACTTTATTTACTTTTATTTAGTTTATAAGGGTCACAGAACTGCTCTTTGAAATACAACTTGGTTGAATAATTCTCTGCCCTCCTAGAAAATTCTGCTAGCTAGTCTGGCACCTCACAAAGATAAAAATCTAGATCTGCTTTGTCCATATAGTTACTCAAATTTAAATTAAAGAGTCAACACCTCAGTTGTACTAGCTGTAGTCCAAGTGACCAGTAGCTACATGGACTGGTGACTACCATGTTGACTAGTGCAGCTTCAGAACACTTTCATTTTCACAGAAAATTTTACTGGGCAGTGTTGATCTAAACTATTTATCTTGATAACTGTGACTCTCAATTCGATGAAAATTATCTCAGACTGTCAAAAGGAGGTTACTTGAAAAAATAAAACAAAAAACAGTGAACACACCCAGCCAACTTTCAATAACTCATGCGAGTCAATAAAGTGGGAAAAGGAATAAGTCAGGAACCAGGAGTCCCAGTCCTGCCTCCAACTTGGCAACATTCTTAATATCCATGGGCATGAAGATAAATGTGACTGGATCAGCACATAGGACTTTACCTCCCCCCAAAATCCTATGTAGAATGCTTTATTTAAAGCAGATAAAATCAGCTCTGGTGAAAGTGGGGATATTGGCCCTTGCCCACCTAGCTTAATATTGGTGCTTACACGGATGTGCAAAACCCAATTCAAAAGGATGAACTGTGTAGTCTTTTCTGGACCTCAAATCCTATGATTTTTAACACATAAAAACAAATAGTTCTTTTTTCAGAAAGGAGTGTATAAAGTAATAATGATTTTCATGTGTGGGCTATAGAAGTTGATTAGAGTTCCTCTTGTATGAATACTTTAGAACTTCAAAAAAAATATTGAGATCATCTAGTCCAACCCACATATTAAACAGTTAAGACAAACCAGTGCCCCAGGGAGGTGAAATGATTTGCCCAGGCATAGCTTTGGATGTCTTAACTCTCAACCCACTGCTATGTATCACTCTCATTAAAGACTGCCCATAATACCTGCTCTGAGTAGTTCTGGTGACCTCTTACAAAAAGCAAGGCCATCCTCAAATTCAGTTTTTGATACCAAAGTAGTTTTCAGAGCATCTTCTATATTGGCTGGCTGTGCTTAACCAGAGAAACCTACTGCCTTTAGTAGTCAGGACTGGCTTATATCCCCTGCATGAAGGAATCTTGCCATGAGCAGATACCAAGTTTCAGTCACACATTTGGAGGATACCAGAAAATTATCTCACTGTCAAAAGGAGGTTACTTGAAAAAATAAAGCAAAAAAGCAATGCCCAATATTTGAAAGTGAGAATAGCCTAAACCTTGTCCATTATACTTGCAGATCCAAGAAAATAAGAATGGTTTGATTGTACAGATTGTTGGTTGAGGTTCATAAAAATACTTCATCCAAAATCCTGGAACAGACATGTTTGGAAGTCCATTTTTGACATTTTAGAAAAGTAATACACTGCCTACACAATGCCACTGTAATCAAAATATTGATATTTCCTCAGTGATACTAAATAATAAAGGATAAAGATTATAGCCTCTCTTAAGATGTGAAGTTTTTTTGCTGCCAAATAAGTTATTATAGACTTTTAGTTTTCAGAGTTTTTTGCAGTTTGGAATTGTTGATAAGGGATTGTGAACCCCCATTACTCCCTGAGAATCCACAATCTAAAAGTCATAAACTTTGGCAAAAAAGTATGCATCTGTGTCATATGCACTTTTTTGTAATGTAGACTTTTTAAGAGTAGGAAGTTAAATTGTATTTGCAAGACCAAATTTTAATGAAGTACATCACACTGAGCCCAAATCTTCATCACATTTGATAAGCTATGATGACCATCCCTGAGGTGGAGTCACTAATTTCATGCTGTTCTACTCCTACTCCAGCTGCAACTGTAACAATCCCCAATGAACATTTCTTCACAGAAGCTGAAATAGGGATGTAGATTCAGATTAATATGATGCCCAAAAATTTGGCTTAGATGAAGAAAATGCTAAAGTTGTAAAATTTTTAGAATTGTTATTTGCCAAACACACTGAGTTATATGTGAAAAACAAAATGGATATATTTAAGAAACTCCTTATAATGAACAAATAACATTAGGTAGATGATATACAGGTATTCAACTGTACAATTGTGAAGTTTGCTGTATGTTGGAAAAGTTTAACATGTTGGGGAAAAGCAATGAAAAAACAAAAGGTAATACTATCAGTGTTAATTCACACTTTAAAACATAAAATAAGGTTTATATCATGAGACTCAAATGTCAGATATGACTTACCTTCCATAGTAAAAATACTAATAGTGCAAGCATCAAAATCCCAGCAAGAATAGCCACTAGGATGACCCACCAAGGTACTCCTGAATACTGAGCTACAGTCTTTGAAGGAAACACAGTCACACGAACCTAAGGGGTGTAAAGAAAGCAACATTGTTATAAACTGGTATAAGAATCGATACAAAGAATTTATAGTTCTAATTTTGCTTCTAGACACATTTTGGACAATGAAGCCTGTGGACAGAGGAGAGGCCTTTTTGATGCAAGATCTTTCCTTTAATAATGGAATATTGCTCCAGGAGGAATTTCTTAGAGATCTTTACCTGGAACTGGAAAAGACTGAATTGTGTTTTTTTGTTGTTGTTGTTCAGCTCATTTTTATTTTTTTCTTATGTTTTTATTTTTTGGTATCATTAATCTACAATTATATGAGGAACATTATGTTTACTAGACTCCCCGCAACACTAAGTTTCCCCCACATACCCCATTACAGTCACTGTCCATCCACCTAGTAAGATGTTGTAGAATCACTACTTATCTTCTCTCTTGCACAGCCCTCCCTGTACCCCCCCACATTATACATGCTAATCATAACACCCCCTTTATTTTCCCCCACCCCCCTAATCCCTCTATTCCCATCCATCCTCCCCAGTCCCTTTCCCTTTGGTAACTGTTAGTCCATTCTTGGGTTCTGTGAGTCTTCTGTTTGTTCCTTCCATTTTTTCTTTGTTCTTATACTCCACAGATGAGTGATATCATTTGATACTTGTCTTTCTCCACCTGCCTTATTTCACTGAGCATAATACCCTCTAGCTTCATCCATGTTGTTACAAATGGTAGGATTTATTTTCTTCTTATGGCTGAATAATATTCCATTGTGTATATGTACCACATCTTCTTTATCCATTCATCTACTGATGGACCCTTAGGTTGCTTCCATTTCTTGGCTATTGTAAATAGTGCTGCAATAAACACAGGGGTGCATCTGTCTTTTTCAAACTGGGCTGCTGCATTCTTAGGGTAAATTCCTAGGAGTGGAATTCCTGGGTCAAATGGTAAGTCTGTTTTGAGCATTTTGATGAACCTCCATACTGCTTTCCACAATGGTTGAACTAATTTACATTCCCACCAGCAGTGTAGGAGGGTTCCCCTTTCTCCACAGCCTCGCCAACATTTGTTGTTGTTTGTCTTTTGGATGGCAGCTATCCTTACTGGTGTGAGGTGATACCTCATTGTAGTTTTAATTTGCATTTCTCTGATAATTAGCGATGTGGAGCATCTTTTCATGTGTCTCTTGGCCATCTGTATTTCTTTTTTGGAGAACTGTCTGTTCAGTTCCTCTGCCCATTTTTTAATTGGGTTATTTGTTTTTTGTTTGTTGAGGCGTGTGAGCTCTTTATATATTCTGGACGTCAAGCCTTTATCAGATCTGTCATTTTCAAATATATTCTCCCATACTGTAGGGTTCCTTTTTGTTCTATTGATGGTGTCTTTCGCTGTACAGAAGCTTTTCAGCTTAATGTAGTCCCACTTGCTCATTTTTGCTGTTGTTTTCCTTGCCCGGGGAGATATGTTCAAGAAGAGATCACTCATGTTTATGTCTAAGAGGTTTTTGCCTATGTTTTTTTCCAAGAGTTTAATGGTTTCGTGACTTACATTCAGGTCTTTGATCCATTTTGAGTTTACCTTTGTATATGGGGTTAGACAATGGTCCAGTTTCATTCTCCTACATGTAGCTGTCCAGTTTTGCCAGCACCATCTGTTGAAGAGACTGTCATTTTGCCATTGTATGTCCATGGCTCCTTTATCAAATATTAATTGACCATATATGTTTGGGTTAATTTCTGGGGTCTCTAATCTGTTCCACTGGTCTGTGGCTCTGTTCTTGTGCCAGTACCAAATTGTCTTGATTACTATGGCTTTGTAGTAGAGCTTGAAGTTGGGGAGTGAGATCCCCCCTACTTTATTCTTCTTTTTCAGGATTGCTTTGGCTATTCGGGGTCTTTGGTGTTTCCATATGAATTTTTGAATTATTTGTTCCAATTCATTGAAGAATGTTGCTGGTAATTTGAGAGGGATTGCATCAAAT